GACATCTGTCATCTGTCCCCCAGCTCTAGCATCAAGCAGGGTAGCGAGAACAGTAGGCTGAGTACTGCTGAGTACTAGTCCTGTGTCTCCCGCTGTGAACTTGGGTCGCTTTCCTGAGTTTTTGCCGGTTAGGTGCCTGACCCATAAAGTGAGGCGGCTGGACTGAGCAGACCCTCAGCTCCTCCCTCCTGTGCCTTCACAGCATGTGGTCCCAGCTGCCTGCCAGTTCTCTAGCTTTTCTCCTCGAGGCTCGGTATTATTTTGTGTCCCTATTTCTGAGCACAGGGTCTGGTTCTCTAGCTTTTCTCCTCGAGGCTCGAGGCTCGGTTTGATTTTGTGTCCCTATTTCTGAGCACAGGGTCTATCTGGTAAACCGTAGGTTCTCAGTGATCTCTGTTGGGTGGATACGACAAATAACTATAAATTCCTTTCCAAACCTCAAATTCTATTCTGTGGGCCAGCGGGTGCCCGGGACTGATTTTCAAGATCTCAGGGAAAGGAGATCTCATTTTTCACTCAAAACCAGCTGGTGAGCCCGGCCGGCCTTTCCCGTTCCTGGTTCCTTTCCAGGCCCTCTTGTAAATAAACGGCAGGATCCAGGGCCGCCGGGGGTGATCATGGAGCAGTGTGGGCAGTTGGGGTGAATCTGAGGCGGTGCTAACAGGTGTGGAACACAGAAAACAGGTTGCTGCAGTAATCTTCATGACAGACTTGCCAGGATCAGGGCTATCCCTCAGTTAACAGTGCAGTGTGTTCAAATTGCGTTTCTTGGGCTAAAGAGACAGAGTAAGTTCTAGCAAATTATTGTAAACTTTGAACTCAGAAAGAAAAAAAGACAAATTAGTCATTTTGCTTTCTGCGTCTCCTGATTTTCTGAGTCTCGTTTGTGCAAAGTTTTGGTTGGTTTGTGGTGCTAGGGTAGGTCAGTGGCTAGGCACAGAGGCAAGGGAGGTGAAGGTGGTGGCTCACGGTGGGCGGCTGGGCAGAGTGCCTGGCAAAGGACGGTGGGGGGACGTCTTCTCACCAGTGGGACCTGCACTCGGCCGTGCTCTTAAGGCGTGGAAGCTGCTGGTTAGAGCGAAGGCCATGCGCCTCAGGTGGGAGGTCAGTAAGGCAGTGTGATATTCAGGAGGAGGTGGCGGGGACGCCACTGTGACGTGGGAAACCTCTGGGGGTGGTTGTGGGTGCGCTTTGCACGGGGTTGAGCATACTGCAGAGCAAGCGCGCGCTGCGTGTCTTTGGACTTCACCTGCCGCAGGCAGAGGTGTCTCCGAAAGAAGCACTGCTTTTGGGGGCAGGGGGTGCCAAGCAGACTTTCTGGCAGTACGTGCCCTGTGGCTTGGGATCTAGAACAGAGAGAAACCAGTAGTTGTGTGAGATGCTACCTCGAACAGCACCAGTTCCTTGGTGACAGAAGAGAAACCTCCTAGGGAATTTTTTTCCAGTTTGCCAAAGGGCATGTGCACTTGCCAGGGAGAGGGAGAGCGTGCCTCCCATAGGGAATGGCCATGCCACAATCCCTTCTCCATTTCCCCCTCCCTCCCTTTGGGATCCTGGGCACGCATGCACACGTGACCAATGTGTTTCCCAGGCTACTGAGTCCAGCACTCAAACCAGAGCTCTGCCATGTGGGATCCAGTTCTGTCATCCACCAGGCCAGGGGCTGGCCCCTCCCAGGGAATTCTGACTCCCCCTCTTCCCTATACACAGCTGCCAAATTCCTGCAGGAAACCGGTGCTGTTTTGCTCCCTTCTAGCCAGCAACAGTTCCCAGAAGGAGGCGTACAGCCGTGGCCCCGGCGTGCTCTGCAGTGTGTTTTTCACAGCACAGTCTCTGTGGCCTCTGCCCAGAAACTGTTTCTCGTTTGCCTGTTTCCTGAAAGCCCGATTGATACATCGTTAAGGCAGATACAGGGGTGTAGTCATGGTAAGTCTCCCTTCCCGAATGCTGGGGTACCACTGAAACTCCATGTCAAGGTGAGCAGGGAGGGGAGAGCTCAGCGTGCAGGGGACCCCGCATGCCAGTTCCAGGAAGAGGCCGCCGGCTCTCAGTTATGATGAGCCTCCTGTGTGTTTTGGCTGCTGCTGTCTGTCTATCCTTCGATTGAGCCTCAAATAAGAGGCAGATTACTCTGTTTCAGAGACTATCAAACTAGGACATCAGAAACCACTTTAATGCCCCAGCGAAGGCAGAGCCTGAGACTTTCCTCAAGAGCATAACAGCACAGGTGACATTTTCCTGATGTTTAAGGTGCACAAGGCAAAGGGGATTTCGGCTTTCTTCTTTCCTGGCAACCTCATTGCTCTGCAGCAAAAGCAGTCGTTTCTTCATGGGTATCGCACAGATTTGTTGAGAAGACAACATACCGTAGGGATACCATGGGCTCTGTAGGCTGCAGGGAGGAGGATGTACACAGCCCGTGGTGCTGCCCAGATAAAAACGGGAAGGCCCTGGACTGTTGAGAGCTGATGGAAGAAGTCACTCCCCTTAGAAATTAGCTTGGCATCAGTACCAGCAGATGGCATAATGGTTACGCTGCTGGACTCCTGGACTTGGTGCTTAAACTCACACTGGGCACTTGTGTGTGCGTGCCCAAGATCCCGAGAGGAGAAGGGTTTGCGGCGTGGCCATCCCCCCGGGGGGCAATTTCTCACTTTCTGTCTCTCCTTTCAGCTAGTACACGCACCCTATAGCAAAAACCTCTCAAAAAAGAAAGCAATTAGCCCGACATGATGGTTGCAGCTGTAATCCTGGCCACTTGAGAGGCTGAGGCGGAGGATCAATATCTAGAGGCTAACCCAGATAGCACAGCAAGACCCTGTCTGAGAAACAGCCAGGGCGTTAACGGTGTGCACTTGTGGGACAGGCTGGGGGCCGGTGCGGGGGTCACAATAGTGAGGCCTTGTCTGTGGGAGGAGACTCCCAATTTAGAAGTGCTCTGAGCACTTTCAATTATATCAAGATTTGAGTCTGCTTCACTGACTGGTCCTGTGATTTGGGTGATGTTGACTTTATCAAGTGCCCGTTGTTTGCAGAGCTGTATCCATGTGGTATAAAGAAGTGTGGGGGAAAAAAAGAAGTGTGGGAACTTGACTACCTACAGAAACATAGGGATTACACAAGGAGAGTTGACTTTTCCCCAGCTATTTAGTTAGAATTTAAGTTCCCCCTTCAAAGGAGAACCCAAGATGGGTTTTGTGTGCAGGTAGTTCATGGGAAGTGACCCCACAGGGAAGTGAGGGGTGGGAAGGAGACACAGAAGGGGAAGCACCAATACAAGAGTACACGTAAGCCCCCAAGGGCTTGATGCTACCAGAACTTCTGGGAAGCATTTAGAGCACCTCCTAGAATTGCCTGTGCGAGGACAGTAAGGACAGCCCCAGTGGCATGAACTTCACCACATCCCAGGCAGTGTGTGCAGGCAGGGTCAGAGGAGGTCCTGCACCCTGAAGTGGAGAGCCTCCAGGTGTGGGCTGTAGGTAGGGTGCTGTTGGCCATGCGTTTAAGCTTACCCAGAACCGCGCAGTGCCTCAGCTGTGCTCAAGTGAGGTCCCTCCAGCCTCTGCTATGGAAAGGATTGGTGTTACCCCATGAAAAGATCGGGAAACCTAACCCAGAGACCTGGGAGGACTCAGGGAAGAATTCTGGGGGGAAGTGGTTTTGAAGCTAAGATGAGACTAAGTGAATGGGAAGGAGGCAGGTAGAGTCAAACCTTAAATTCAGGACTAGTGTGGTTATAACGAGCATAAATGACAAGGGTAGGTGTGTTACAGGTGTGCTTCGTACGGTAAGGGGTTTAGACTTTATCATAAAGACGTGTACAGAGCCAGGGAGGAGACATTTAAACAGAAAGGTATACTAAGCTTCATGTTTTAGAAAATTCTCTTCTGAAGCCGGCAGGTACCATGTGGTTAAGGCACTGTACTTCATGTCAACTGCAGTTCGAGTCCCAGATCTGGTGGCTTACATTTCTCACTTTCCCTCTTTGTCTCTGTCACTATCTCTGTTCCAATTTTTAAAATAATAAAAATAGGAGACCAGCAGGTGGCGTGGTGGTTAAGGCGCTGGACACTCCCACATGGCCGACCACAGTTCAAGTTCCAGGCCTGGTGGCTTGCTTTCTCACTTCCTCTCTTTCTCTCTCTCTCTCGTCAAATTTAAATAAATGAATTAATAAAAGAAAATATTTTTTTAAAAAAATAATATAAATAGAAAAGAATTATTTAATTTTATTTATTCTATTTATTTTTAAAATTTGGGCATGTGGGGCTTCTCCCACCTCCACGGTCATATTACCAGCACAAGGGACACAGGCCACACCTTCCCTGCTTGAGGGTAAGGGATGTTTTCCACTTCAGGGAAAACCAGGGCCCAGCTGAGTAGAAAGGAGAGTGATTAAAATTTTAGAGTCCTTTTACAGGAGGGTGTCGTCTTGCTCGTCATTGCTGGGAATGTTTCTTTGTCTCCTAAAAGAACCCCTGGAGCCCTAGAGCACTGATGATGGCCGTGACTCAGAGAGGTGGAGGCTGGTGCACCTTGACTCTGTGCCAGGTGGTGGTCTGGCCCTGGACGTGTGAGGCCACAGCCATGAGTAAGCGTTCACGTTGTGGGTTAAGAAACCAAGGCATGTGCGCTTGAGCAACCAGCCTGTAGTCACGCGGTGAGCGCTGGAATCTGGACCCCGACGTGTGGCTCCAAGTCGCACCTACACCCCACTGCTCTTCTGCCCTTGCAAGCAGAGACCTGCCTCTCAGAGCCCACGAGGGCTGGAGGAGTGAGCGTCTCCTGGCTATAACCCCATAGAGCAGTCAGGCGCTAGGCAGGAGAACACGGTAGAATTTTAGTCCGCGCTCACTGAGAAGCAACATCGCCCAGAAGCAAACATGACTTCCATTAAGATATGGCTCTAATCCAGGGGACCCTGTGCCCATCAGAAAAACTGTTACTGAAGAGATAAGCGTTTTCACATGCTACATGTTTCATGGTTTCTCTTTCCTTAGATTAAAAAGACCGAGTGGCATGAGCAGCCTTTTGGGGAAAATTGGAGCCAAGAAGCAGAAAATGAGCACCCTAGAGAAATCCAAATTGGACTGGGAGAGCTTCAAGGAGGAAGAGGGGATCGGTGAAGAATTGGCCATCCATAATCGAGGGAAAGAGGGGTAAGGAGGAGGGGTCTGTCCCTTTGGTGGTCCTCAGAGCTCTGCAATGGGTATTGCAGACACTGCCCAGGGTGAGCAAGCAGGGACCTTTCAGGTGAACGACAAACACAAGGGCTTTGGTGAAGCTCCGTGAGAAAGCCACTGGGAGCGGAGGGAAGGAGGGCGTGTGAGCAGCACTCTCCTCGGGGCTAGTCACATCTGCCAAACCAGATTCTCTGAGGTACAGCTCCAGCGAACTGGAAGTCCCCGAGTTGATTCACCTGGTCAGATCCGGCTCACGGTGGCGTCCTTGGCCTGATCCGAGTCATGTGGCCTTCTGTGAGCCAGACTCGCTCAAATGCTTCAGAAGCAGAGTCAGCAGAGCGCCTCCACGCTGTCGCACTGTTGGGGGAGCTCTTCTGTCTGTGTCAGTTTGGCGCAGGGTGCTTCGCCCTCAGTGCACCCCGTACAATGCACCAGGCGTGTGGCAGCATCCCAGACCATTGCTTGCACCCTCCTGCTCACTTTGTAATACAAAGAGGATATTCATAAACTGTGTATTCAGTTGTGAATAGAATCCCTTCCTTGTCTGGTGAGTAAATTAAAAAATCAAGAAAGAAATGGTGTTCATTGGTTCCTTGGAGACCTCAGAAAGAGCTGAGAGCCCACATGGTCTTGGGTTTGTGGCTCAAGGTCAGTGTGCCCAGCCCTGACAGCGAGAGCAGGTGTCGGGTGGTCCGTGGGACAGCCCCTGGGTGCACATCACCCTCGACCCTCACTGGTAAGGTGTCCACAGCACTCCGGGCACCTCGGAGGCTCAGCTCCTTTGCTGTAAAACTGGGATAATGACACCGTCCTCCCTTGTGATACGTGTAATAAACGTATGACTTATGTATACACACTACATATGAAGCACTTTATAGAGCTTCTGTCACAGAAAGTCTTTTGTTAAATGTCATCCAGGTTATTAATAAGCAAAACTGTTATTTTAGGGATCAGATTTCTAATTAGGCTTTGCAGTTATTTGAATGAACCTACAAGCCAACCAGTATATTTTTTAGAAATAGTGACTCTGAATTTGTTTAGCTACCAGACTGCTCGGTCAGTGCCCCTAGCTGAGGGGCAGTGCCATGGCAGAGGCAGTGGAGTCAGAGCCGCCTGGAGACGGCCCGGGCTGCAGTGAGGCAGGAGGCAGTGTTAGCGCTCAGGAGGGGATGGCCCTGACCACTGCCTCAGCCTCTCCAGGTCTGGGCACTCAGCTCCCTGCAGTCTCCACGTTTGCCCAGTGATCTCAGTCAGCAGAGGAGCCGCTAGTGTGTGCTACCTGTTATTGCTACTCTGAGTATTGATTATACGGGCCAGACAGTATTCACTCAGCCCGAGTTAACAGAGGTCTCCTGAAAGTGAGGAGTGGTTGAAGATGGGGGAGAGTTAATAAAATGGAGACAAGAAGAGAAAACCAGATTACAAAGGACATCTTTGTGATCTGCCCAGTGAGGACTTCCCTCGCAATGGAAAAGCACATCACTGGGTTCAGGAACAGCTGCTGGCACCCCGCTTCTGTGCTCTCCTCCCTCCTCTGTCTGAGGCCTCTACCTGCTGGCCAGGTGGTGACACAGACCTGAAGGTGTTTTCCAAGGCAGAGCTGATGGCTTCCCTGCCCTGCTCTGCCACTGGCTCTTAGCAGCTGCTTTCCGCAGAGCCACCCCTGCGACCCGCTCGCTCTCCTCTCCTGGCTCCTACAGACAGGGAGGGCCCGACCCCTTGTCCAGGGAGAGAATGGTAGCTCTGGTTCTCACCTTGTCTAAACTCAAGAATCCTCTGGGGAAGATTTCTGAAGTTCAGGTGACAACACCACACCTATACAGAGTCACTGCATCCAGAATCCAGAATAGGTAGGTTACAGATATCTGTATCTTTTTCTTTTTTATTTATTTATCTCTTTTGGGATCATGTGCTTGCCAGAGAGAGACAGACTAGACAGTGAGACGGAAGGTGAGAAATTACCCCCTGGAAGGATGGCCATGCTGCAGTCTTTTCTCCATCCAGGATTTTGGGCATGCACACACCTGGGCCTGGCATGAATTTCAAGCCACCAGGTCTAAGACTCGAACTGAAGTCAGCCATGTGTGAGTCCAGCACCTTAACCATGTGACCTGCCTCCTCTCTCTTTTTTTTTTCTCTTTTTAATCTGTCAGAGGGCATGTGTGCTCGCCAGTGAAAGATGAGGGGCAAAGTGAAAAAGCATCCCTCGTGGGAGACAACTATGCCACAACTCCTTCTCCATCTCTCATTTGGGATTTGGGGAATGCACACACATGCACCCAATGGGCCTCTCAGGCCTCCGAGATCTGGACTGGAACTGTACAACTGACCGTGTGGGCTCCAGCCACGCATCCTCCACTCTACCAGCTAGCCTGATACCTGTATCTGTACATCACTCCTCGGGTGATTCGGATGCACCGCCAGGGTTAATTACTAAGCTGCAGGATCAGAGTCTAGAGGCCAGACAGCAGTGGCACAGTGGGGTCACTACTGCTGGGAGGCCGGATCTGCAGGGAGGCACAGCTTTGGTGCCAGCCAGAACACACAGGTGTAGTTGAACACGCCTCTAATCCTAGCTAACTGGGAAGCTGGGCAGAAGGACCACAGCACAGTGAGAGCCTGTCACAAATACCTGTCCCTTTCTCCTTCTTCCCCTCCTACCCTCCACCATAAGGGGAAATGTCCTGGAGCCAACAGCCAGGCACCCAGCTGCCAGGTGAGCTTTTCCAATATGCTCAGAACCCGCAAGCCGACTCCTAAGTGTGTGATGTTGAGAAGGGTGAAGGGATTTCTGCCGAGAAGCATGCCCAATGCCCAGTGTTCAAAGGAGGGATGTAGGGACAGCCAGGCCCCCGGCTTCTGTCACAGGAGCAAAGGCATCAGCCCCCTGGGGAGGTTACTCTAGGGGCTGTGTGGAGCGTCCCCAGGAGCACAAGGCTGGACACAGTCACCTTGCTGACACAGAGCAGGGACATCCCATCTTAATACCTATGAGTAGTGCTTGGACACTGCAATATTTATTATAAAACTGCGACCTATTTATTAACACCACGTTTAAATTGATCTCATTTATCAGAAATTCAGATGAGTGGTGATAAAATACTACAGTTAAGCAATTCTAGTTAAAGTAAGAATGGATTGAGGTTAAAAGATTATGATTTTCTGGTCAGCTGGTGGCGTGAATGCTAAGGCAGCTGGATTCCACATGGCCAACTGCATAGTTCAGGTCCTGGACCTAATGGCTTGAAAACTACGCCAGGCGCATGTCTCCTGAGAGGAAAATACAGAAGGGGTTGTGGTGTGGCCATCAGCCCTCTCTCTCCTTTTCTCCCTCTCTCTCTCTCCCTTTCTCTCTCTCTCTTTGTCCCTCTCTGGCAAGCACACATGCCCTATTGCAAAAACTGTTTTTTAAAAAAAAAAAAAAGATTAATTTGACCAGAGAGAGAAAGAAAGGGAAAGTGAGAAAGCAAGCCACCAGGTCCAGGATTCGAACTGTGGTCAGCCGTGTGGGAGTGTTGGTGCCTCAACCACCATGCCACCTGCTGGCCCCTATTTATTTATATTTTAATTTGACCAGAGAGCGACAAGAGTAAGAGAGGGGGGCAAGTGAGAAAGCAAGCCACTAGGTCCCGGACTCAAACCACATTTGGTCATGTGGGAGTCCAGCACTCTTAACCACCATGTTCCAATTTTTAAAGGCAGTTTTACTATTTTAAAATATTCACACAAAGAAGCAAGGCATCTAGCCAGCCAGTGATGGGGCGGTTAAGGCGTCTGGCTGGATCTCACGTGGCTGACTGATGATTTGAGTTCCAGACCCAGTGGCTTGAGAAACATACCAGGCACATGTGTGTGTATGCTTAAAATCCCGAGAGAAGAGGGGCCAGCAGGTGGCATGGTAGTTAAGGGCACTGGACTCCCACATGGCCAACCGCAGTTTGAGTTCTGGACCTGGCGGCTTGTTTTCTCACTTTCTCTCCTCCCTTTCCCCCAAGTCAAATTGAAATAAATCAGTAAATGGATAAATAAAGTTAAATAAAATAATCATTTTTTTAAAAAATCCTGTGGGACCAGCAGATGGCGTAATGGCTACATAGCTGGACTCCACGTAGTCAATCGTAGTTCAAGTCCCAGACCCGGTGGCTTAAACTCCTGCCAGGCACATGTGTGTGCATGCCCAAGATCCCAAGAGGAGAATGGAGGAGAAAGGATTGCGGTGTGGTCATCCCCCCTGGAGGGTGATTTCTCACTTTCTGTCTCTCTCTGTCTTCCTGGTGAGTACACGAGCCATATAGCAAAAACATCTCCAAAAAAAAAAAAAAAAATCCTGAAAGAAGACTGAAAAAAGAGTGACAACTTGGCCATTCGCCCTCCTCCCCAGTGGTGATTTCTCTCTCTGTCCCCCCCTCTCTCTCTCTCTCTCTCTCTCTCTCCTGCTCTCCCTCTCCCCCGCCACCCCCACCTTGCTGTCTCTGTAGTGAGCACATGTGCTCTATAACAAAAACTAAAAGAAAAAGAAAGAACCAAGGCATTTTGGACCAGCCAGTGGCATGGTGGTTAAAGTGGCTGGATCCCAGGGACTGGCAGGTGGCATGGCAGTTACTGCGCTAAATTCCCACAGGGCCAGCCAGTTCGAGTCCCAGACCTAGTGACTTACTTTCTCACTATTTTTTCTCCCTCTCCCCCCCCACCTCTCTCTTTCTTTCTCTGTCTCTCTCTGGTGAGCACACATTCCCTGTAGCCCATTTTAAAATAATAATGATAAGTAATTTAAAAATAAATGGATAAAGTGACTGGATCCCATGTGACCAACTGCGTGGTTTGCGTACAAGACTCAGTGGCTTGAGAAACACATAGACATGTTTGTGCATGTGTGCGCGTCCTTGCCCAGAATCCTGAGAGGAGAGTGAAGGAGACGGGATGGCAGCATGACCTCCTGCCCTTAGGGGGGCCTCTTCACTTCTTTTTCCCTCTGGCAAGCACACACACCCTATAGCAAAATTTTTAAAATGAAACAAACAGTAAAAGGCATCTTGAGAAACAGCAGACACAGAATCAGATCTGCAAAAAATTTAGACAATGAAAATATCAGATACTGATTTTAAAACATTTATGCCTGCTGTGTTCAAAGAAGTAAACAATAAACTTGAAAATATTTACAGGAAGAGGAAACCATAAAAATGTGGCCTAGCAGATTTTACAAAGACCCAGTAGAACTTCCAAAAAGAAAAAAAATGACCGACGCATCTGGTGCTGTTTTCATCTTCCGTAAGCCCCAGGGGTGTCTTCTTCACTGTCACCAGCACCTAGAACAGCCCAGCCCAGAGCAGCTCCCGGGCCCTGGCACCATGCAAACACCCCTGCCCCTGGCCCTGGCCAGCAGCAGCCAGCCATGGCCTTTGTTCAGCAGCCCTGTTGGGTTAGAACTGACCACCCAACAGAGGCGGCCACAGTACATCGGGTGACGCATCCATCCAGGCATCATCCCCGTCAGCGGAGCTGGTGAAATGCCCGTGTAGAGCCGTCATCACGTGTGCAGCAAATACCACTGCCTTCCCCCCGAGCTCCCGCCGCGCAGTGCCTGCAGACTGCACTCGGTGTTGGGCATGGCTTCCCTCTGGCCCTGGGGCCGAGTGCACAAGTTCCTGGTGGGGTCGTCCTCAGCAACACACTTTCTCCCACTAAGGTGGAGGCCTGCGGGCTTAGGGGAAGAAGTCGAGGTATAGAAACAAGAGAAATACAGCTTTGGACTTGGCTGCCGAGGTCTGCCCAGTCAAATGAAGGTCTTGGGGGCCAGCGGGTGGCGTGGTGGTTGGGGCGCTGGACTCCCACAGGGGCAGTGGTGGCTCAGGTCCTCGACCTGGCGGCCTGCTTTCTCGCTCTCCCTTTCTCTTCTATGTGTCTCTCTATAGTCGAATTAAAAATAATAATAACAAATGGAATTAAATAAGTCAATAATTTATTTTTTTTAAAGATGAAGGTCATGGAGCTCGGTGCTTAGAAACCAGGTGTTTTTGTGACTTGGAGAAGCATGAAGGAGAGGCTGGAGAAAATAATTTTCTTTCTCCAAAAAATAAAATCTCTCTCTGTAACCCCCAAGAGTCACTCTTTTGGAACCAGCACAGCCTTGAGATGATATGAGAAGAAGGCAGTGGAGGGGAAAATTAATTCAAACCACTGTCCTCGAGATGTCTTCCAGTTAGGCCTGGGGCAGGGGCTGGCAAGGGTGGCCTGTGTGGCTCATGCAGCCTGTGCGGCGTTGGGCAGAATCCTTACCTCAGTCGCATGTCTCAGGGCAGAAAAACCTGTATCTCGTTACGTGGGTCCTGGAACTTCAGTTTATTCAGTGTACCCATTGCCTGTTCTCTGTGATGCTGGGAACTGGGGTTCAGCCTTGCTCTGCCCCAAGTTGGGGCTGTACTGAGTGCTTAGGGAACCGGACGCTGGCTGTGCTCCGAGCACCCCGGTAATGACGCAGCCTAGTCGCCCTGGGTTGTGTCAGCCTTGGTGTCCCAGAGCCTCCCTGCGCTTGCTCCTCTGCTGACCAGCGTGCAGGAGGCCCTTCAGGCCGCTCAGCCCAGGATGTCCAGGAAGTGGGGTTCCTATTCTGTAAGCTCTCTGACCTCCTAGGGGTGGGCTCTCAGACTTATTCCTGACAGACTCCCTGGCAGAAGTTTCTGCCTTGTCCTCTTCCTCCATTTCTTCCTCCCCCATCGGCCTAGATCTCAGGAAAATCGGTGTCAGAAACGTAATTGACCGTGGAAGGTCCAGCAGAAGTCAGAGCCTATTACTGTGTCTAACCTGGTTCCTAAAGGAGAGGCTAGGAAACCCCTCAGGTTCTCGATGCTATTAGCATACTTTATTAATGGAAGTTGCTACCTCTTAAATGGGCCACTAAAAACAATGGTGGCAGAACGGGGTGCTGCACCCCCACCTTGGGCCTCCCCATGGAAGGAGCTAAATCAGGCTGTGTCCCCAGGAGAACTGGGCACAACCAGAAAAGCACCACGATGGAAAATGAGCAAGAGCCACGATTCCCATTGCACTTGTCAGTTAGCAGTTCTGTTCTGGGACTGTGACCCAGTTAAAGTGCCTAAAACTTCCTGAGGTGACCTTCCTGACAAGCGCTTCCTGTTTCTGGGGCATTTGGTCTCTCGGTCTCTGTTCTGACTACCCAGGTTCAGAGGCTCTGTGGTGATTTGGTCAAATCAGAAACAGGGGGCGAGACCCCATACCCATCACAGTCCTCTTGACTGTGTTGGTTTACTGTTTACAGAGCACTTCTTACGGAGTTTCATCTGAGGGGCATTGTCACTTTAGTCCTGTTTACAGAGAAGAGAAATAAAAGGCACAGAACAGTGTCTTGCCCGGAGTCACACAAATAGCACCTGTCAGAGCCACTCGCCTTCGGCTCCTTTCCTGGCTCCCTGAGGTGGGGGAGTCCATGTCCAGTGGACGTTTTGTTCAGGGTCAGCTCCTGGCGATAAACCAAGGCCGCCGCCGGGATCCTGTAGCAGCTGCAGATGGCCGTGAACAGGGGAGTAAAGTCGCCAGGCCTGGCCCGATGGCCTTTGTCTGGGTTCCCAGGAGAGTTCATTGCAACCAGCACATGCTGTCCTTCCATCGGAGGCCTTCCCTGAGCCGGAACTGCACCCCCTGCCTGGTTAGCACCCATCCGGGGCTTCGCTCTTCAGCGGGACCCAGCATGGGCTTCCCGGAACCACAGGGCCTTTACCCTCGCTCAGTGAGCATCCTGAGCTCAGTACCGCTTCCTCCTCTTGCGGGGCTCATCCCTCTTTTCTGCTGGCACTTCCAGTGGGCAGTTAGAGCACCCTTTCTGCAACACTGATCTCCATGGTAACAGGCTGTACCTCGGCTGGTTGGACTGGGATAGAGGGATGCCTGGTTTTCGTGGGACGAAGCCCCTCAGCCGATTTCGGTTAGCAACCCCACTGTGCATCACAGGGCTGTAGGTGGTGGGAGGAGGCGAGCTGGTTCTCGTGAGTGACTTCACTCCCTCTCCTGCCCTGTTTTCGCTCCCTATCATAAGGGATCCTCAGAGTCTGCCACTTCCCTATCTGCCAGGGAGTCTGGAATTCAAGTTGAACCAGGCATCCTGTGTTTTCGCACTCACAACAACTGACAACCCCGACCGTGAGAGCTTGCATCAAACCGTGCCCTCGGGTGTCCAGCCGTTCTGGCCTCAGTGAGGGTTCTGACCAGCAGCGTAGTTCTGACCCAGCCCGGGCAGTGGTTGCCGAAGCTGATAACATGCATTCAGACTTGGACCATCTGCAATCCTGGGGACCCTGGTGGCAGCTGGCTTCCTAAAATGACAAGGCGACAGCACTAGCTACCCTCTCCCAGAGCACCTGTGCTGGGCCAGCTGTGTACATGCTGTTCGTCTCATCTAACTCTCACAACCCTTCAGAGGACGAGTGATTCGCCCTTTCCCTCCAGAAACAGATTTGGCAAGGTTATGTGTCTTGCCTAAAGTCACACAGCCAGCACGTGACAGTCAGGATTCGGACTCAGAGCCCCCCGGCCTCAGAGCCTGTGCGTTTCTGGACAGCCCTCTGCAGGACAGTGGAGGTCGGGGCTCAGGCCTGGCTGGAAAGCCAGTGGATGGACAGCACTTCGCTGGACACTATTGGGAGGGAAGGCAGCCCTGAACCTGAGCCTGAGCTGGGTCGTGTTCTCCCCACAAATGTAATGACCTTGTAACAACAGATGCGCATTTTCCACAGCGCAACAAAAGAAAAATTAGTGCAGAGATTCAATTATGTCTCACATCTTCGATGGCAATTCTGCTCTCTCAGTAGATTAATTAGCAGCAGAGATCTCCCCCCAGGCACGTCGCGGCACACTTCATGGCAGGAAGATGCATTAAGGGCAGCTGTGTCTCGTCAAGCAGCCCACCTCACTCGACAGTCCTCACCCCAGCTCTCACAGGCGGGCAGCGCTGCAGCCTGTGCAGCCTGTGCATCCTGCCCATCCTGCAGGACCGAGGGAGGGCCTGTCTGCTGACCTGGCCCAGTGTGGAGTAAAGCGCTAGCCTTCGAGGGGACACCATGTGGGCCGCGGAGGCCCCGCACCTCGTTGCTATGAAGGAACTTAAGGAAAGTCCTCCCTTGTGTTCCTAACAGAAGCAGCTGGGCCCCAAACTGGGTGGAGGATACCAAGATGAGAGAAAGGAGAGCAGGAAAGCACCAAAAGCAATTAACTACCTTCCGAAGGGCACACCCCTGAGCCCCAGCTCCCGGCACCTCCACGGCCCCAGGACGTTGCTCCCGTCCCGTTTCTTCCATTTTCAGAGGCACCTGCTCACATTTTGAGGCATATTGCAGGATGCATAGTTTTCTTTCACCCACCAACTCAGTAGCACCCCGGCTGGTTAATACAGCGTCACCATGTCGTGTTGCTGTGGGGAAAATGAGGCTCGGGGAGTCTTGCCCAGGTGTTGGTGTTGCCCAGCCAGTGTGTGACGGTCTGTGCTTGATGGAGCCTGTGTTCGTTCTTCTTCCCCTAAAGTTCTATGACAAGATTGTAACGTTTTCCATCTGGATTCTGCTGATTTTTTTCTTTCTTTTTTTTTTTTCATTTTCTTCTAGGTACATTGAACGGAAAGCTTTCCTAGACCGAGTGGATCACAGGCAGTTTGAAATCGAGCGAGATCTCAGGTTGAGCAAAATGAAGCCTTGATGTTACGGGGAAATCGACTGCAGCTTAATCCTGTTTACAATGTGAGCTTTTGTACGTCTGTGAAATGTCCCGTGTTTCTTTCTCATGAGCTGTTTCCCAGCAAGGTCTTCTTTTCTATACTGAAGTTTTGTCTAGTGTCTTGATCTCACATGGTTTTGTCCATTTTACTTTTGTTGGTTCTTAAATAAATAAATAAAATAAAAGTTGGTCCTCTGAGAAGCTGGTGGGGAGGATGCCATCACACGCCTTCCCTTTAAGCTTCTGCAAAACCCTTCCTGGCCCAGCCAGCACATTCCAGCCCGGCCAGGCCACAGAGGCCTTGCCAGCCATGGCCGAGAGAGCTGACCAGCTATGTGAATTCTTGGGGACCATGTGGCTTTTTTCTGAGGTCCACCTTGCCCTGCAGAGCTAGGGAAGGGAATTCACTAGTGTGGGTGAGACGCCAAGTCAGACACCTGACCGGTTTGTCTCGGGCTCCCCTCTTTATCTCTTTCTCCTGAGTGGATTCCTGACAAGTTCTTACAGGGCTGAAAATCAGACAAGGTTATTGCAGAATTAAGGATTTTTTTCCTTTTAGACTTCTTCCTCTTCCCAAGGAAAAATCAACTTCACATGTACTCTCAGTAATTTTTAAATTTATGATTTGTCAAAAGAATATTCCAAAGGGATCTTCTCTTTTTTATGTTCTTTAAGAAAATTACATTCCAAACTTCCTGCCTAGTCAGATGTTTTCTAGGAAGCAGCGAGGAGGAGGGTGTCTCTTTGGTGAAAAGGGAATTGGATGCAGAGACCGCTCATATATGAAAAGCATTAAACCCACAGCCTACCTGGGTGTGTGTGCTGCCTGAGTAACGTGAATAGGTTGGGTGAAGGTAGAGTTCCAAAGACCAGGATCCACTTCCTGCTCAGACATCTGACCTCGACCACAGGTGTTTTCTGAGACTCCATCCTCTGGTCTTGAAAAGGCGTGAGTAACCCCGACACCTCAGCATCAATGACAGACCTTGCTCTCACAGAGCTCCCTGTCCAGGCCCCTAAGACTTAGAGCCCGTGTGACCAAGACCTGACCGTGAGCACTAGGTAGTTACTAGTTTTGAATCTTATTACACATTTGAACATGCTGCCTGTTCCCGGGCACTCTGGTAGAGATTCTAGAAGTGGATGTTCTAGAGCGTTTCAGGTTAGTGTCAAGTCGCCTGTGAGGTCTCACTTAATGGTCCTGCACTGGGACCCAGGAATAATGGAGGGCAGTCCTTTCTCCTAAGAGCAGCCAGCATGTTTATTAGCATAAGACACCCAGACTTGCTGGAGGTGCCAGCGGAGACCTGAGGTGGCCGTCCTGCCTCATGGGGCTGTGGTGCACCAGCTGCAGTTCACTGCCGCTTGGATGGCTGTTTTCCCAGCTCTTCCCTGGACTTACAGGTGCCTCCGGTGTCGCACAGTCTTCATCTCAGCAGCCAGTGGTTCCACAGTCCGTGAGCTGGCTCCTCTGCCTACTTTAAAAGTGCCCTGTAATCCTGTGAAGAAATGGCTCTGAGCTCATGGTGAGTCAGGGTTTTACTTTTTAGTGAATGGTCACACCTTCGAAGCCTTCAAGATTAAGGCAAAAGCTGCAAGAGCTTGCTGGCTCCTTGGCACAGGCAGGTTTGCTGTTCTCACTCCGCTCCAAGGCATGGAGAGAGGTCATACATGTCCGTGAGAAGCCTCACTGTGTGCCCTGCCCATCCTGTCAGGACCCGGCCCTCGACAGGCCTCACACACAGTCTGTTAGAGACTGAGGTCACGTGCTACAGGAGGGTCGGTCCCTTTCTGCCATGTCCTGGTTGGGCGTGTCTTCTCCCTGCAGGTTTGCCACACAGCTGACCCCCACGCAACGACTCCTCACCTGCCCGTGGCTTTTGAAAAGCCCCTCTAGTCTAGTCCCTTGTGACAAAACTGGGCCGCTTGTCAGAACATATGTAAACTACATTAGGGATCTTTTTTTTCCCCTCTCTTCAAAAAAAAAAATGTCAGCTTTGATGAGCTCTCAGCAATTTACACCATTCTATTATAGAACCCTTCCTCCCAACTTCGTAGATCCCTACTTTGTGTCCCATATTTTCATATTTTAAATTTTTTTGGGGGGGAGGGGTCAGCAGGTGGCATGGTGGTTAAGGCACTGGACTCCCATATGGCTGACCACAGTTCAAGTTCCAGACCTGGCAGCTTGCTTTCTCACTTTCTCTCTTACTCTCTCCCTCTCTGGTCAAATGAAAAGAAAGAAAGAAATGGAAAAATAAAGTTTAAACAAAGGAATTCTTTAAAAAAAAAAAAGAAAGAAAGAAGGACCAGCAGTTGGCGTAATGGCTATGTCACTGGACTCCCATGTAGCCGACCACGGTTCAAGTCCCGGACCCAGTGGCTTAAACTCACGCCGAGCACATGTGTGTGTGGGTCCAAGATCCCAAGGGCAGAATGAAGGAGAGGGGATTGTGGCGTGGCCATGCCCCCTTAGGGGGTAATTTCTCACTTTCTGTCTCTCTTCGATTGCATACGCCCTATAGCAAAAAACTCTCAAAAAAAAAAAAAAGAAAGAAAGAAAATTAGACCAGGAGTGTGTGTATGCATGCCCCAAAGAGGAGAATGAAGAAGGGATTGCCGCATGACCATACAGCCTGGGGTGCTTTCTCACTTTCTTCTCTCTGTTTCTCTGTGTCTCCAGCAAGCACATCCACCCTATGGCAAAAACCTTAAACAAACAAACAAAAAAGTCACCTTTTTTGGGATGGCCCAATTACCTAGTGGTTACGGAAAGTCAGATCCTACATAGTCGACCATAGTTCAAGTCCTGGCCCCAGTAGCTTACAAAATATGGTGGTGCGTGCATGTGTGCCCTAATCCTGGTGTGGTAGAGAATTTAAGGAGCAGGGATTGCAGTGTGACCACACCTCATTAGTGGTGCTGTCTTCCTCTATCTTTCTGATAAGCATGCATGCCATCTCACAATTAAACAAAATAAAAGTCACCTTTTCTATCAGCATTGTTTGAACCAGGGCTGACACTAGACACTTCGTTGTCGTTGAGGTTTTTGCCATAGGGTTGGTGCTTAACGGAGGGACAGTAAGAGGGAAGGTGAATCACCGCAGGGGATGGCCATGCTGCAGTGCTTTCTCCATCCTCCTCTCGGGATTTTAGGCACAAACGCACATATTCAGTATGATTCCCTTTTTTTCTTTTTAAGAATTGTCTTTTATTTAACTATTTATTTTAATTTGACCAGAGAGGGACAGAGCAAGAGAGAAAGTGAGAAAGCAAGCCTCCAGGTCTGGGACTCAAACCACGTTCGGCTGTGTGAAAGTCTAGCACCCTAACCTTTATGCTACCACCCACCAGCCCCACCCCAATGTGATTTTTTTTTTTAAAGGTTTTCGCTATAGGGCGCATGCGCTCACCAGAGACAGACATAGAGACAGAAAGTGAGAAATCACCCCCCAGAGGGGATGGTCACGCTGCAATCCCTTCTCCTCCATTCTTCTCTCAGGATCTTGGGCACGCACGCACACGCGTCCGGCGTGAGTTTTAAGCCACCGGGTCCGGAACGCGAACCGCGGTCAGCTATGTGGGAGTCCAGCGACATAGCCATTACGCTAACTGCTGGTTCCCCCCAATGTGATTTTCAAATTACCAGGTCCAGGGCTCAAACCACAGTCAACTATGTAGAAGTCCAACCCCAAACTACCACTCCACCTGCTGGCCCCAGCCTACTGTTTTTTGTTTTTGTTTTTTAAGAATTATTTAATTTTACTTTTATTTGTTTCATTTTACTATAGGGTATGTGTGCTCACCAGACAGAGAAAGTGAGAAAGCAAGCCATCAGGCAGGCCCAGGACTCGAACCGTGGTCAGCCATGTGGGAATCCAGCACCCCAACCACCATGCTAGCTCCTCAGATTGACCGTTAGTGAGAACTAAAGTAACTGCCAAAGGAGCCGTGGCCCTTTATACAGGGCTTGGGACCTGCTAAGGAAAATGTTTGCAGGAAATGGAAGTGGAAAGACTGAAGCGGTGCTGTGAGGCCACGAGGCAGCTCTTGCTGGCACGGTGCCCCTCCCCTCTCTGCGTGAGTGACTGATGGAGACGTCCTGGGGACACCTGTGCTGGTCCTACAGTGTCCAGAGACTCCCTGAGAGTTGAGCTTCCTGGCCTGGCCTGCGCCATCGGCCCTTTGTCTTCATTCCCCAGATGAGTGTGTCAGGTTTCCAGGGCATCTGGTGCCTTCTCATTACCGAAGACACTGCCCTAAGACCATGCAGAAGACTGAGACAAACAAGCCTCCCCTGTGCTGTCACCATTTCCCGGGGAGCAGCACTCTCTCTAGGAGCTCCACACTAGGCCTCTCGGGGCTGTGGGGACACTTGAATACCTAAATCCGGAACACGCTATACCCTGCAGGAGATAAGATGGAAGCAGGGACCAGGACCCCTGGCATCCCTCAGCCCAGGACCTGTCTTCACAAGGGCTGTGCCGCAGGTTCACCAAGTGGCCGACACCACAGGAGGACCAGGAGGACCAGGCAGCAGGGGAGCGGTGGTCTGCTGGCCCCAGCAGGCACTGGGGGCAGCCAGGAGATGGTTGTGGTGGGATGAACATGCAACTGGTGCAGTTGGTGTGGCATGGTGTGATTGGTGGAGTGTGGCCTAGAACAGGCTCTCGGGTAGAGTCCTCTGCCTCTTGGTGTCAGTCTTTAGCCAGAACTGGAATTGCTCAGGCGTGTTGGGAAGACTGAAATAACTGAGACCCCAGAGGAGCAGGGAGTGCTGTTAGAACAGTGGGCTCCTGGGGGAGGGTCAGAGCTCTCAGCCCAACAACAAATGACCGGGTGGTCTCCTGTGCCAGAGGCTCCTCGCAGGTCACCTCCTCCGGTTCTCAGAGGAGGAAACTTGCCTGAGGTCACCAGGTGAAATGGCCCGTGGCTGCACCCGCATGGCAGGATGCAGGGCAGGCTGAGGGGGCCTCCGCGTCAACACTCCATGTTGGAGGACCCCTGTCGGACCGCGGAGACTTGAGTGCAAGGCCCAGAAGAGCTGAAGGATGCAGAGAAACTCGTGGTTGAGGGTGGCGGCTGGACCAAGTTTGCTGCCAAGTATGCTCTGCGCGTGGGCGCCCCCGCCTCAGCTCCAGGCCTGCTCCCGGGCCTGAGCCGCTCTCTGACGCACGAGAACC